TGTACCATGAATATTTGTCTTTCCTTCAGGCAAGTAGAAATATTTTTGGGGACAAAATCTAGTTATGCTTCAAAGACAAAATAAAAACCGGGCACTTGAATATATTTGTTTATTTATCATCATAACTAGATATAAAGATTAATAGTTGACTTAAAACCTAAACACAACATTAATAACTCGTTGTTTACCTTTAAAGTGTCAGTAAATCCAAGCACTCCTATTCGTGTCTTTCAGCGGAACTCTGCGAGCCCCGTTAGACAGCAGGAGGACATCGCCTTCACCACATTATACAGTTTCAACAGTCCTTTAATTAAAACCATTTGACCATTGTCTGTGAAAGTTCTTACAGAACCTTACTGGAAGGATAAAAGTCTCCTCTGATAGTTCTTTAGTGGCACCATGTAATCCTACCACGAAAGCCCAATCTCTTTACTAGATAGTTCCTACTCACAGTTGTGTTCAACTATTCTGAATTCAAGCATAAAACGCTTATCAACAGGGTGAAGGAGTTACAAACACGTCTTTCGACATGAATTATGAGGGACTCTTATAATTCATGTCGAGAGACGTGTTTGCAACTCCTTCAAACTGATGATGAGAGTTTAATGCTTGAAATCAGGATTGTCGAAAACAACAAACCATGAGTAAGAACTATCTTTTAAAGAAATTAATCACAATACTCACCCCACCTTTATCGTTATACAAAAGCCCAGTTCCACCAAGCTTTAGTCTACAATTGGAAACCATTATGAATAAAATACAATGCTACTAATTAAAAGACTATTCAGAATACCCCTCCCAATAGCTCAGATAAATTTTTTAGCTGGCATAAATAAACACCTACTTTCCGGGTTTTAGTCTGATCTAAACATGGCTCATTTATGAATGGCACGCAATTCAAGATGTGCCTTTTTCTACCCAAAGAATAAACATAAGGAACTATATTCTTCCGAAAGTATTTTTCAACTTTTTCCGCCGAGCTTGTCACCATCTTGAAGGTCTCAGAGTCCTTAGACTCGACCAAAATATGCATCCTGATGAACAGCCTGAGCACGATCTATCAGTTAAAATACTTTACTAACACATCGAAGTACGATTACATGTTAATCGTTGAAGTAAAAAAAAATATATATATGAATTAGGGAAATAAAGAAATAGTTCTTTGCTGGATTTGAGGTCATTCAGGTGTAAGGCGACGTTTGACAGACTGGCCAAAAATCCTCGTTTGACAACAGTACCATTGAAATACACTTTTCAGTAAATGTCTTTAAAAATCACATAAAATTAAAGTTACACAATTGGCCATCAACGTACAATGCACCAGACGTGGGAAAGCATTATTAATAACTTTTCCCAACTCTTAATAAAAAAAAACGAGGTTTGTTGTGGGCGCGATTAGGAAAATTAAAGCGTTTTACATTTCGATTTCACAATTTTGAATCGGCCATGGCATACGCGGTTCGTACCTGTATATATGATAAACCGCAGATCTTTCCAAAAATGTAGTCATTGTGACGAGGCAGATGATCATGGCCACATGTTGCTGTGCTGCAAGAAATTTAAAAAACTTATTCTACGAGCACTGTCAAGCACTTCGATGGATAACCTCAAACCACTGCTGATGGCCGGCAAAAATTAGCAATATTAGTGGGCGTGCAAGGTGTGCGTAGAACCTTCATTTAGCTTAATCATTTTTAGGCCTTCAATAGCAGATTGTTCATAATGTAAAAGTGAGCTCTAAAACGGTCATTAGAAGGCTTCGTGAGAAAGTCCTAGTTACGCCCCGCATCAGGCGAGGCATCTAGTATGAAGGCGTCTATTCGCAAATAGCATCTCTTGGACATTTGAACATTGGGTGGGGGGGGTTGTTCTATTCACATATGAGTGCCGGTTTGGTTGTTGACAATCAAATGACTTGCACCGAGTGTGGAGAACACACTCCTTCACGGGCCATGCGTAAGTCACAGCCTTTACAAAGACCTTAAGTTATAGTATGGGATGAAATCAACGTCCATGCCCGCACCAAACTTATTTGCATACAGAATAGATCTTTGCACTAAGGTACATTGAGGAATTTTTCTGGCTGTTTTTTCCCATTTGCTCCATTTTCCGGACAACTTTGATTTAATGCATGATAAAGCTCGACCTCTTACAGCTCGAGATTTCACACATTACTTGGAGGATTTGGCATTACCACAATGAATTGCCCAGCACGTTCTCCTGACATGAATTTTATACAACACCTATGGGGGATGATAAAGACGCCTCCTAAAGTGTTGAACAGCTTCAAACTGCTCTTTTTGGAGAAAGGGATTCTGTTTCACAAGAGGAAAACCGGTCGCTTATTTACCCGATGCCTAAGAGACATACGGCCCTTACCGTGGCCAGAGAAGGTGATACACGTTATTAAAAAGCAAAACTAGGTCACTAATCGTTAGTTAAATTTTAATATATCTTTAAATGATGTCTTTGGTGAATTTTTTTCAAACCATCATAAATAAATAATTTTTATTAAAACTCGCGAATTTCTGCTCTTGGTTAATTTGATTTGCATTACAGTAAGTATGTTGTAATTAATATAATGATAAAAATACAAATAGTTTGAAGTAAAAAAACAAAATATGAGTGACGTTTTGTCTCTTTGAGTGTGGTTGTTTAGTGACCATTAGTTAATGATTATTTGGAGATCATGAGATGTATGTATTTGTATAATTTAAACAATGTTTATAAATCCCAGGCCCTAAAGATGACCTCAACAAAGATCGATTGAAAATGGCAAAAAGGAAAAATACGAAAGGTTTGGTTGAGATGGGAAGTTGGTGTCCGAGTGGATCGAAGTCACGATAGCTCAGGTGGTAGAGCAGCGGCGTATTTAGCCGAAGGTCGTGGGTTCGAATCCCGCTCGTGACACTGACTTTTTTTATCTCAACCAACACCTTACATAAAGATTAATTAATTGAAAGATCGAAACGTTGGCACGAAAAAGAAAATGTTTTTCTAATACCTACGTCACACCAGACCGCATCTCACGATCTCCAAATTATAATTAGAAACTAATTACACAAAACAATACATGAGTTTTAGTTTAAACTAAAAATATAAAGGAAAAACTCAATATAATTCTCTATTTTTAACTTTATAAACCTAATAAAGAAAGTTTTGAATACTTCTTTTTATTTTATGTTTTAAACAATTATTTTATGTTTAATGTAATGATTTATGTTTAAATTATATTATAAAATTTTGTTGAACCGGGTTGGTATTATGTAGGATTTTTTTTATTCGCTCCAGCACAAAATATCAAACTTTATGAAAGATAACAATTTTTTTTAAATCTTGTTATCGGTTTACTTTTGTGTATTGTTAGCGATTTCTTGATCATCCAGAAATCCAACGAGCTCACGGGGATTCACGGAATCGAAATACAGAAACTTCAGCGAAAATAAGGGAGACGAAGGTTGATCCGGGACGATAAAACTGCAGACGAATGTTCAACAACTCGTAAAACAAACGAACGAAACTTCTCAATATTCTCATACAGTATTTTACCAGGCCAAGGAAGGTGACGTATAGATACAAATTTATGCATATCCCCTTTCATCCTTTATAGGGCCGGTCTTGTTCTCATAATTGCCGTTCGTAAATTATTCGTATTTTGTCCAGAGTACGGCGTTTGGCAGGAAAGACGGAGACCCTTTATGGCCTCAGGAAGCCGTGTGCCGTCCTTTATTCATCCTGGGGGCGTCCTCTTTTGTTATTTTTTACCCGATTCTCCCCTCGTTGGCCGACGACGCTCCGGTTTGTCTAGTGGTTACGCCGCAGGCCACAAAGCAACACGCGGCTACTTAGTTCAACTCCATCGATCCTTTTCGACCCGATCCTGGGAAACAGGAAGTCGTTACAAGCTCGACAAACTAATTAAGGGTGTAAAAACAAAGAACTGACTTTCCTCCTGCACGCTCAACAAGACTAAAATAAAAACAAATCCAGCATTAAAAAAAAATGTACACATTATTGTCGCAATGCTGTAAACGATTCTAATAACATATCGATAAGTACGGTAATTAGTAGTATAAACAACGAGAAGGTTACGACAAATCGCGAGTCACATCCCACCTCACTCTCTCACTCTCTCTCTCTCTCTCTCTCTCTCTCTCTCTCTCTCTCTCTCTCTCTCTCTCTCTCTCTAGTTCGCTCACACTCTATCTATCTAACACCTTTTCCCACTCTCTCATTTAGTCACTTACGTTTTCAAAATTGCAAAATGAAACAATCACAAGAACAATTAGAGGAAAAAAAGAAGATTTTTACTTTTAATAATACGTACCGATCATGCTGTCGATTACAAACTAAATGTTAAATTTTGGTCATTATAGTTAATTATATGATACAGTGCAATCAATGAAACTAAAATGTTTTCGTTTCAAAGGATTTCTATTTTATGCCAGCAGGGTAATAATAAATAGGAAGAAAGTAATGAATAAACATTTGCCACTGGAAAACAAGGGTAACTGCACGTTTCTGATATTTTTTGCATTTAAAATACAAACTCGAACGTGACACACTTTAATTTTCAAATTCCCTTTATGTTTTTCACCTTGTCAACTGAATGCGGCAATTGGACAACCACCAGTATATTCCCTCTTAAATTTACTCGACCGACGAGTCTTATCGATTTAAACGCATTATTTTAATTCTGCTCTGGAGGTATTCAAATGCTTTTATTTAACGTGCATCAAAATGTAAAAAATAATTTTTAAACTTAATTTTTTACACGTCAAGGAGAGATTTCATCTGTCAGCAAGAAATTAATGACTAATTCTATAACATTCATTTCTTTTCCGGAGTCTTCTCACGATAAGTACTAACCCCATCGAGCGGTTGTTTTGCATTCAAAAATAACATGGTGGAAGGTTTATACTTGTAATTGCATAACCTACAAAAAGGGTTATCATTGAATATAACCTCGTTGGGTATGCGTTCTATCAGAGCTAGTGACTTTAAGGAGTCCTATTTTCAATTTTTTTCCGCGTTTTGGAGTCTAAGAGACGCAAGGCGAAAGTATACAGCACAAATCCGACACTATCCGGAAGTTGCATTTTCCGGAACGCGTTACAATTTTCCAAAACAATCGCGGAAAAGTTTTCTAAAGTTTCGCAGGTTAGTTTCGTCATGGGTTTGAAGTTGAAAAGGTGGGTCAAATGATTCATTGCCCTAATACGATTCCTATCGTATTTTTTCACAAGGGCCTCCCAAGTTTGTGTATAATTAGCCTCAGATATTTCGATAGCGGAAATAACTTGAGCCGCGGATCCCTTCAGACAGGATTTCAAATAATGAAATTTTTGCACCTCCATTAAATCTACATTCGTATGTATTAACGACACATACGTATCCTTGAAAGGAGTCCATTTTGACAAATCACCGTCAAAGATAGGCAGCTCCAGGCTGGGCAATTTCAGATGGACCAAATGTCCTGCGGACAGATTGGAACACAAAGTCGTGTTGCGCGACGGACTATTTCTCTTTATTGAAAAGGCTAAGGTTTCATAGTACTCAGTTTGCACCTTAGCCTTCAATTTCATGAATTCGACATAAGGCATTTTATCCCTTCTCAACTCTTTCCGTATTTCAGCGATCAATGAAACAAACTTCTCAAATGCGCTATTGAGTTGGAAAACACGGGCTTCGAAGATCGGTAATTCATCGGTGTTTTCCTGCGAGCTCTTTCCGATGTCTAATGTTCTGTGAATATCCTCGGCAAGTTCGGAGATTTCGTCTTTCATGCTTTCGATATCCGGATCTTGATCATCCGATCTTTTAGGCATGCTGGTTGTAAAATAGCGTCAAAATCAATGAAAATCAGAACGTATGTTGAGGCTAGCTTGCGTAAAAGCCAACGGGAGAGAAGTAGAAATATCTTGAGAAGCGTGAGGAGACAAGGATGATCAGATATCCGGCCCGGAGGACCAAAATTTGTTGGAAGAAGGGGCTATCCTTAATTGGCAGCAACGCTCCTTACCTTTGCTAGTTCGCCGGAAGCTGTTCCTTCACGTTGACTCCCTGACAGAATCAGGACGCGATATGAAAAAATAGATTAAATTAAACTAAATTAAATTAATATGATATACATACATAGGACGATAAATTTAATTTAATTAACATAAGTTGAACAACAAAGTGACCTGGCCAGGGTCAATAGATTAAAGATAATAGTGACAGACTTATTACAGAAAATTAATCAAACTATACAAAAAACTTGGTTTTAAACTTTTTTCACAGTAGTTAACAATTATAAGAACAAACACTTCAAATTAAATTCTTTCACCTGAGTTTTACTCTTTCTAAATATGACATTTTATTTGCCAGTTTCAGCGAGGTTCGTTGATAATGAGTTAACTATGTCTGGTACCCTTACAGTTAATTGCATGAGATGGACGAATCTGATGTTTGTTTATGTTATCCCAGTTGGTACAGGGCTTATATTTGATCTGTCGATTTTCCTCTAGCCAGTTCGTCTACTTGTTCATCACTTATTCTTTTTCCCCCTGACACTCAAGGTATATTGTCAGGTTGTTGTTTTTTCCCAGGTTTAGGAGTTGTTGGATGCATCCAGGGACAATGGGTGTTATCATATTTCATGTTAGTGCTTTTAGGACCTCTTGACCGTCCGATCGTTTGAATACTTTTCACATTGTAGCCATGAAAGATTTTTTATCATAGAATTATTAATAGCGTATATTTCATCGTGAAAGACCGAAGGGTGCTTCTCCAATCAGTTTGATAGCACTTTTTCGGCTTGTACATAATATATCACTGTACTTTCACAAGTTTTAAAGCTATCTGTATTGGTAATTTTTAATGTTCGATTTTTCCTGATTTCATAAATCCAGTACAGTATACCTTCCTATAATTTAATTAAAAAATGGCGCAAACGCGTTCAAAAGTTATTTTTATGTTATGATTTGATTGCTTAATGAAGTAAAACTGTACTCAAATGGACTCAATTAATCGCACGTTGAATCAACGAATCAAGGTTGTTTTGTCAAAACTTAATATAAACGTACATTTTTTAACCAAAATCATCAATTTTATTGTCTTTTAAACGGATGAAAAAGTAAAATTAAAATTTATTTCAATTATTAAGAATTTTGTGACGATTCGTATAGTTAGAGGTAATAATAGGTTTTCATAATTTTTGATGTTCAATTTTTTTAATAAAAATATTTAAGCTTTTTACCCTAGGAACTGATGAACGTCAATATATTGCTTATAGAAAAATTAAGAGAGTGTTGAAATTGTAACAATACAAATTCTTTTATAAATCTCTCCAGTTGCATGGGCTGGTTTCAAAAGTAAAATAATAATTCACATCTAAGGAGTAGTTAGTCAGAGTAAAACAACCATATGGCCTCGAGCTGTGCGAGTTGAAAGGTAAAATGAATTTTGACTCCCTCCGGGGTACATGTACTTAAAACTGAAGTGAACACGTGCGAGCCTTCAGAAGCGGTCAGACCAGTACAATCAGCCCGAAGAACCTTCTTGTGTACACTCGACCAAAAAGAAAACTTCGTTATACAGAGGCCTTCAGGAAGCGTTCCACGAGTGATTTACCAACGCGATGAAATGAAATTTTTCCCTTCAGTGGCCTTTTAAAAAAGACCAAATTTATTATTTATGTTATAAAAGTGATTTTTCGTTAATTATAACTTTTACATCAAACTAAACAGACAGAATATATGGTACATATTAATTTAATGATGTTAACAAGCGGTTTTAGAGACGATTCGAGAGGTTCAGTCAAATATATGGCCAAAAGGAATCCTTTGAAATTGAAGCACTTTAAGCTTGTCCCAGATGGTGGCTATTAACTCTGAGCTTCATACAGTAAAGCTCGATATAGCATATTCAGTTTTCCTTTGATCTACGAGAATAAAGCTTTGCTGCAAGATAACGCTTTTGAACATTGAACGTTCTTGGCAGGTAAATGTTTTAAAAATTAAGATTGTGTTCACATCGTCCTGCTTAAACAGTGTGGTTCTTTTCAATTTTTTTTCACTTCAAATCCATTATTGTAGTATCTCTCTATATGCTTTTCTGTCAGATTAGCAAAAATTATTACTATATTATAACATGTTTTTGTCAATAATTGTTAAATCTTTATTTGGCTCATCCATTTATGTTTAGTGGTATAATTGACCATGTTAATTATTCCAATTAATTATTCTTTTAATTAAAGGTCTTGGCTGAGATAAAAAGCGCAAAATGTCGTGGGTTCGAATCCCGCTCGTGGCACTAACTTTTTCATAACAACCAAGACCTTACATAAAAAGAATAACTTTATTTGGCTATTTAACAAGTAGTCATTAAAAGAATATAGATAGATCTTTATTCATAGAAACGATCAGGGAAGATTATGTAAACATATGTTTATACATTGAATGTTATTAATTTCAAAACATACACTTGCTTTCTTCTTAACGTTCCTGTACATATACGAAATAGGATTGTAATCATTTATAACTTTAAAATGACATGAATATAATTTTACATTCTTTTTATCAGATATATTTATAATAATATTCAAAGAAATTCTAAGTAAGTGTAATATTTATGATTATGTTATTTGGTTTACAATTAATTAAGGTTTTTAGTTGAGATAAAAAAATCAATGGCACGAGCGGGATTCGAACCCACGATCTCGGCTAGATACGCCGCTGCTCAACCACTTGAGCTATCGTGACCTCGATCCACTCGGACATTAACTTGCCATCTCAACCCCACCATTTTGTGTTTTCTCAACTAAACCTTTTTTTATTTCAACTAAAAACCTTAATTAATTGTAATATTTTAATTGGAAAAGCGGACCCCGAAATTAATGAATTTAATGAATTATACTTCACTAAAGCTCTCCGTGGCCATTTCATTTGTCGCCGAGAATCCAATCCGATTACACGACATCTGAAAAATGGCAAAAAGGAGGGAAAACTCAAAAAGGTGGGGTTGAGATAGGAAGTTAATATCCGAGTGGATCGAGGTCACGATAGCTCAAGTGGTAGAGCCGCGGCGTATCTAGCCGAAGATCGTGGGTTCGAATCCCGCTCCTGACACTGACTTTTTTATCTCAACTAAAAACCTTAATTAATTGTAATATATTAATTGGTCAGGGTCTGCGAAATTAGTGAAGTTATTTAGTTTTTTACTTTTACATGCATGCCTAAAGTACAGCTAACTTTTCATGTGCATTTTTTTATTTTGGTTTTCTTATGTTTGGATCTATTCAGCATTTATGGGATCTTACACGCTATGGATTGCATGAAACTACCACCTGGATCTTTAATTTCCTATTACTGACAATTTTATTAAGGTTTTTTTGCGTCATCTCTTCCAACTCACGTACTAATCTCTTATTGAGTCCATTTACCCAAAATGGATAAAAAGCCTTAGTAAAAAGTATTTTTGGTGTTCATGGAGGCTGAATGTAATTAGTGTATCATTAAGTTATTATGTTTCTACTAGTTCCTTTCAGAGCCAAAATACTAATGCGAACACTTGATGGCCCCTAAGTGTCATCCAGAAATTTATACCACAACTTTCTACTTGGCAGCAATGAGATTATTTTTGTGAATTGACAAACACACACACACACACACACACACATTATTTTCGAGTTACGTTAGACATACGTTAACAGGCTGTTTAAACGTTCCTTGATGGAAATTGTATGATGAAATGGAATTTTATCTTGCTTTGACCAATTTTTACAAATTAACATGCTTCCTCCTATATGAATCTTTTTTAAACATTCTCATTTATTACAAGCAACATACACGTGGTCAATTATGGAAAACCTGGCACAGTAGTTAGTATTCCACACAAATTCTCGACTTTAACAAAGTTTAATGTGGAAAATCGTCATAATAATCAACGTTTTGATCATTTTCATTTTTTAATTGACTTACATATTATTGCACTTGTTTCAGTAGATGCTATCGTCATATTCAATGGAAATAAATACAAGAATATCTCTGGTTTTAAAATTTCAATTTTTTGTCCTCATGTTGTCATATTCAGGTTCATATTTATGAGAAGAAACGAATTAAATGAAGAGCATAGCATTTGAATAATTAATGAAACTACTCCATAAGTGTGCCTATAGGAAGGTGGTGAAGTAATGAAAAGGAGCGTGGGCGACCCCAGTTTTTTTTACCTCGGTGGACCATCTGCTATTATTTCTCAGGTATAGGGACATGCCCCGAAACGCCTCATTTTACCCAGTTTATTACTCAGGTGTAGATTCTAAATCCTACATTTTACCCGTTATTTCGAATGAGTATAAAAAACACCGTTGGCAACCTTTTGTCATTTCAGTAGATTGTTACAAAAGTCCCATGTGTACAAAAACCTTTATTTTTATTGTTTTATTTTAAACAGAAGTATGGTTATACGAAAGGTTTTCAACATTTTTACCAATATTTCAATTTATTTATTTGTGTTTGGAGTCGATTATTTCCAGGTCAGAAATTCTGAAGTACTCATATTTCAATCGTTATAATATTTTATTAAAATGAAAGTCGGTCATTAACCGGAAAAGTCAATAGCGAAATGTCACAATACATATTTTGTAAAGGATTGTCCTACTTACAGATTCTGTCCTGATAAATGGACAAACCATCTGCAAAAATAGGCCATGTCCTCAATGAAAAGAAAACTGAGGGAGGAGATTCAGGCAGATGCCATATTAGGTGTGCCAATCGATGCAACTACTCCAAAATTTAATTTCACCAACCAAGCTATATAAACAAGAACGAAAAGCGAGAGCGAAAGG